GAGTGGAAGAAAATGGAATAGAAGAAAATGAATAGAATAGAATAGAATGGAATGGAATGGAATGGAATAGAATAGAATAGAATAGAATAGAAAATGAATAGAGTGGAAGAAAATAGAATAGAATAGAAGAAAATGAATAGAATAGAATAGAATAGAATAGAATAGAATAGAATAGAATAGAATAGAATAGAAGAAAATGTCAGCATCCTGGACCAATCTTGCAATCTACAGCAGGGTCTCCAGCCTTGGGAACTTTAAGCACAAGTCTTAAAGTTCAGCTCCCAGAAGTCTAGAGATCTGATAAAGAATTCTGGGCATTAAAGTCTGCACATCTTAAAGGGAATTCTGGGATTTGAAGTCCACACATCTGATAAACATTTCTGGGAACCGAAGTCCACACATCTTAAAAGGGAATTCTGAGAGCCGAAGTCCACAGGTTTTAAAGTTGTCAAGTTTGAAAAAAACAGCTCTAGTGAATGCCCCCAAACGTACTGGACAACATGTCCCATCTTCCCCGTCTGTAGCTGAGCATTACAATTCCACAAGGAAAGCCTGGAAGGCATCGTGTCTGAATTTGGGCAGAATTGGGGGTGAGGGTGGGGGAACCAGTTTGCAATTTGTAACCGCTCATTGGTAATTTGCATGCCGGCTGGGGAATTGATGTTCACCCATCTTAAAATGGCTAAAGTTGAGAAACGTTGCTCTGGAGCCACTACGGCCTCTTGGTGACCTGTGGACTTCAACTCCCAGAATTCCTGAGCCAGCATGATATAATCAATCAATCGATTGTCCTCTGGAATGAGATATGGGCTAATTTCCAAGTGAGGCTCACCTGATGTACTTTCGAGCCAACTTGGCACCTGTACCTACCTACCTACCCCTCCTGCCACTCACACCAATCCAATCTTTCTAGAAGGTTCCGCTCCTACAAATACCTCATAAAGCATGGGTATAGCCCCTTTCACCACCTGTGGACTTCAACTCCCGGAATTCCTCAGTCAGCCAGGCTGACTCTGAGGTGTCATGCTTGCTCAGGAATTCTGGGAATTGAAGTCCACAGGTTATAAAGGGGGCCATCATTGCCCACCCTTGCCACTGAAATTTCCTTTGTTACCTTTAAAAATTAAGCAACGGTTGCAAGAGATTATCAATGAATCAATAGAACTAGAACTGGAAGATTTTGGGGGAAGAATGAATAGCTTATTTTTACATCAGATGAGCTAACCAAGTCAAGGAAAGCTCTAAATCACTGTGTCAATCATACACACTGGGTAAAGAGTAGGAACGTCCAGTCCGATCGCCTTATAGCAAAATTCCATGCAGAAAATCCAACCAAGCTTGGGGGGGGGGGGTGTTTCACAACCCTGAATTCTATACCTGCACTCAATTTATATAGGTCACCTTCAAGAAGTGAGAGGAGCCGAATGTCAACTCATAAAACATTTCTATGCCTGTTTTAGTAGTTGGCATAAAAAATGGGGGGGAGGGAAGGAAATCTGGAAGAGCAGTGTAGCAGTTTGGAAGCGGAAGTCCATTCCAACTCTTTATCTTTAAAAGATTGTGGCTAAAATACCAGAGCTTTTGCCCACGAATATATTTAATTGGAGAATGTGATTGATGACACCCAGCCTGTAAACGTGCTCAGTTGGAGAATCTGATTTATGACACACCCAGGGGGGAAACAGAGTCACAGGGGACTGTGAATGATGCATGCCAGAGTTGGCTTCAAACAGGGCAGGGCCAGTATGTCGCCTCTCATAAATCCTTTGAAGATTTTTGAAGTTTGGCTCGAGAATCATGATTTAATTAGAGAGATTGCTGGAATCCTGACACAGGGGTGCGATTCTGGCAGTTTGGACCAGTTCAGGTGAACCTCTAGGCTTCGAAGATCAGCTGGGAGTGAACCGATTCACCCCGATGATCATGTGGGCTCGCCCGCCTGCCTGTGCACTGTACTGACCTTTATCGTCCCAGCTGATTGGCGCAGAAGAGTGGATTGCCGCTCCGCGGCTGTGTTCCTCCCCGGAAGTAACATAGCAGGTAAGGATTTTTGCATTGCTGTTCACACACGTGCAAGCAAAGCACGCGATCACCGAATCGGTTGTTATACTGCCAGCATCCCACCCTTGGTTCGAAGTGGCCCTGGGCAGATCTGTCATAACCTCAAACAGTCACTAAGTGACCTGTTGTAAGTCAAGAAGTATCTTTAATCTCCCTCATAGACCCCTCTTTGCAATGCTTCTCTTTCAAAGTTTGTTTGGCCTGCCAGCCAGGCAGATACTTAAAATAAAATTATGACATGTAATCAAAAGATAATAGATTATTTTGCCCTGCCACCCCAGCTGCCGTAAAAAAAACAACACAATGGAAGACGATTTTAAAAGGATTCCAGGAATTTATTTCGTTGTCGTTTTCCAGTTTTTCTTTATTAGAATTTCCGGGTGGGGAGAGCCAAGAGGAGACAGTATCATTCTTACAGAGCACTCAGACTCTCTAAATTCATGTGGGCGGACCAAGAGATTGTTAAAAACACACACACACCACACACACAACTGATTTAAGTTGCAGCTTGGCGAGAGGCGGAGAAGTGGAATTGGAAAAAAGAGCAACGCAACTCCATCACAGACGTCACAAACTTCCTTTGCTACCGCAACGGAGAATCTTCCAGCCAGCGGATGTAGGAGCCACAGATGGGAAACGTGAGCCTCTAAGGCTGAGCAAGAGATTATTTACACCAAGATGGAGCGCCCCGCCGGCCAGATACAACAAGGGAGAGGCTCTGGTCAGGTGGGCCACAAATTCAAACACCCACACCCACAAACACACACAAATTCATCTAAGAAGATGGAAAGATTGCTGGTTCGTACTTCCAAGTATTTATGGCTCCCCTCTGGAAACGGCTGAGACCCTGCCAACCAGCTTGAGTAAAAAACGACACCCACACCGAGAAGGTCAAAAAAGTCAAGATGGCAGCTACGGTCTGCAAGCCAAGCTCTATCGTTTTTTAATTTTTTTTTCTTAATGTGGGCTATGAGGCTTATAAGGCTGCAGCCGCCATCTTGGTTTTGGGCCCTCCCGCCACTCTTGTTAAAAACAAAAAAACAAAACCCTCGGGGATCGAAGAAGCAACATCTGCCAAAATTAAAATTAAAATAAGTCTTGGCTCTTTTCCCAGGGAGTCAGTTCGGGATATCTACCAATATTAGTGGGGTGTGGGGGGGGCATTGTAGGGGGGAGGAAATAGGCAGGATTTGTAACCAGAAGCCAGGCCAGGTCATTCTTCACCGCCGGGCCTCTTCAGCACCGCGCTGTACTTCGTGGTCCCGTTGTCGGCCCGCAGAACCACGTCCACCAAAGCGAATATTGAGATGACCTTGAAAGGGAGAGAGAAGCCAAGCAAAAGTTAGTCGGATCTCAGGATCGCGATGCTCGTCAGATCTCAGAATTTTGCCCCGAAAGCCACATCTATTATTGCTTCAGGTAGTCAGATACAGGTACAGATTAACAGAGTTGGAAGAGATCTTGGAGGTCATCTAGTCCAACCCTCCATCCCCTGCCAAACAGAAGACCCTACACCATTTCTGACAGATGGCGGTCTGGTCTCTTCTTGGAAGCCTCCAGGGATGAAGCTCCCACAACTTCCGAAGGCAACTTCTGTTCCATGGGTTGATGGTTCTCCCTGTCAGAAAATTCCTCCTTATTTCCAGGTTGAATCTCTCCTTGTTCCGTTTCCATCCATTATTCCTTGTCTGGCCTTCGGGGGCTTTAGAAAATAGCTTGACCCCCTTCCTCCTCTCTGTGGCAGCCCCCCAAATATTGGAAGGCTGCTCCCTAGACTAGCCAGGCCCAGTTCCTGTAACCGTTCTTCATATGTTTTAGCTTCCAGTCCCCTAATCATAGTCCTTGACTTATAACAGTTTGTTTAGTAGCGAAAGTTACAACCGCGCTGAAAAAAAAGTGACTTATGACCATTTTTCATTCTTTAAAACGGATGCAGCATCTCCCTGGACAGGTGATCAAAATTCGGACACTTGGCAACTGTCAAATATTTATGATGATTGCAGTGTCTGATCCCCTTTTACAACCTTCTGACAAGCAAAATCCATCCATCCATCCATCCATCCATCAGAATAGAAGCGGAAGAGACCTTGGAGGTCTTCTAGTGCAACCCCTTGCAAAACGGGATACAATTGTTCCAGGTAGTGGCTTTACCAAGTCCAAAAGGAAGCCAGATACAACCGTGTTTACCAACTTGACTGCTGCAACGATTGGCTTAACAACGTTGCAAGAAAAGTTGTAAAATGGGGCAAAGCTCACGGAAGCAATGTCTCCCTCGGTGACGTACATTTTGGGCTGTGGTTCCTTGCGGTCGCCTGCATTGCAAGGCATAAAAGCAAAAACGTGTCCAAGCGATTGTGTGGCTACCCGTTTTCCTCGCATCGCTTCAGCCCTCTGTCCCCCACCGTCCTTCTTGGAATCAGCATTACAGTCAAAGTCCACGTAGATTTCTTTTTATATATATATATATAGAAACACATTACAAGTTCAGTTAATAATTTCCGATCCTTTTCCAGGCAAATATCAGTAATTTGTCATTTTTACAGCCACTTTACGCTCGGGGTTAATGTGTTTCAGGTGCCAAGGGAAGCTTGGCGGGGCAGTTAGTTAATTAGTTTACTTAATTAGGACTGCAGAAAAAACAATGGCTACCGACCTGCCTTCCATGGAGGACTTTTTATCCTGCATGGGTCAAAAAGAGGGCTGTGAAAATATCTACAGACCCCTCACATCCCGGACATAAACTGTGTCGACTCCTACCCTCAAAACGACGCTATAGAGCGCTGCACACCAGAACAACTAGACACAAGGACAGTTTTTTCCCAAATGCCATCACTCTGCTAAACAAATAATTCCCTCAACATTGTCCAACTATTTATAAAGTCTGCACTACTATTACTATTAATCTTCTCATCATTCCTTATCGCCCATCCCCTCCCTCTTGTGACTGTATGGTTGTAACTTTGTCGCTTGTATCCTTATATTGACTGTTTCCTAGTATGATTTGATTGCTTATTTGTACCCTATGATGATTCTCGACTCTTGACGAATGTCTCTTTTCTTTTATGTATACAGAGAGCATTTGCACCAAGACAAAGAGAGAGAAAGAGAGAGAGAGAGAGAGAAACAGAGAGAGAAAGAGACAGAGACAGAGAGAGAATGTCTTGCAAATGAGTACAGGAAGTGCTGTGCAGTGGGGTGTAGTGGTTAAAGTTGACAAGGACCCCAAACCAGAGACAGGGAAAAACCACAATCCAATTCCTGGTAAATTCTTGGGAACTTGTGCCGTCACACCTGAGAAACTCTGCCATTGGCCCATTGACTGCAGGGCACCCGGGCCTGGCTCAGGACGAAGCCGAGTGCGAGACAGCCAGGTGGGAAGTGGGGTGAAGGCGAGGAGAGGGGGGTAGAGCCAAGGTTACCTGCCGCGCGGCGTCCTGCTCCGGGCTCTGCGGTTCCCACGCCAGCGACAACTGTGGCTTTTTCCCCACTTTTTGAAATTGGAATCCCACCAACGGTAGAGCCTGCAAGGCAATGGGAGACAGAGTCAACGGGCGGAGCAGGATGGGAGACGGAGTCAACGGGCGGAGCAGGATGGGAGACGGAGTCAACGGGGAGAGGGTGGGAGAGGCGGGAGGCAGAGGTGGACCAAGCTTTGAGGAATCCCCCCGCCCTCCTCAAATGAGAGACATCCCCTGTCCGCGTACAGAAGGCCTTTCCAAACCCCATCCTCTGTTTTGCGTATTTTTGTAATCTTTTCCTTTAGATTGTTTTTTTGTCTTTTAATACGGTAAGCCGCCCAGAGTTACCCCCCCAGCCCCAGGAGGTAAGAAAGGAGGCTGATAAATGTAAGAAACAAGTAAATAAATTGTGCGGTTTTTCATCCCGGTGCGAACTAAGCCAGCCAGGCTGGGCCACGGGATCAAAGGGCTTATCGCGGCCGAGGTTCGAGATAAGGAACCTCCGCTGCCTGTTTGGAAGCCCTCGAGGCAGCTGGCGCCAGTCTCCGTCAGGGCACGTGCCCCCAGCACGGGCTGCAAAGGTTGATGAGGCCAAAGGGTGCCCCATGATGGCCAGGAAGGGGAGAGGTCACCCAGAAGCCTCTAGGAAGGAAGCTATGAAAGCCGGGTGAGCCAATCGCCGAGTATTGGTGAGTTCTAGTTCTGCCAATATAAGCCAGCCAGGTGAGCCTAGGGCT